TAGACTCCCACACCTGTAGTTTAGCAGCGAGGCCCAGCTTTCTTGCTGCATTTTCATCGAAATGACACTGGTTGACAACCCTGCACTCGGGAAAACAGACGACACTCGAGCTTGTTGTACCGCGAACATTCAAGGGATATCGGTCACATTTTATGGCTATATTAATTACCGCCAAAAATACTTACCTCGCGTAAAAGGGAGGAAGGAGCGAGGGAGATTGGTGAAGACGAAGACGAAAAAATGAGGGAGTGATAACTAATCCGTAATGTAAATCTTTCCATTGTGCGTTATAATATTTCACACATGATACACAGAAGAAACTGGCTGCTCTTTAGTTATTCCTTGCTCCTCGCTCTAGCTGAACTTCCCGTTTTCTCCTTCCCTATTTCTTTCCTCCCCTGCCCTATCTCCTTCATGGTTGAGGAAAGGGAGCTGAGGTGCCAAGTTTTGGTGGGTGAGGCACTGAGGGGTCCGCCAGCCGCGTGGCGTGCCGGCCCCAGTGCCACCGCTGCCCCCTTGTGCCCAGTTGGCGCCCCGCATCCACTTCTCTCGCTCACGGAAAATGTAACGGGTCGAGATTCAGCTAGTTTCGTTGTTGCTGGAGACCGGGAGGAAGAGGAAGGCGAGAGCGGCGTGCCCCCTCGGCCTTTATGAAGATACCTCGGTGACAGAAACTGTGTTGACAGAAGAATATTTGAATACTGACAACTGCAGGGAAGAGACGTGTGTGTTGGAAGTCAACCAGAAGTGAATTAGAGATTAGAAATTTTACTCAAAATTTGACTCGGAAGAAAAGACCATATTATATGTGTGTGAAATTATATATCCAATGAATAATAAGTAGAGTGTAAACTAGCAAAAAAGAAGTAAAGAAAAAAAAAAGAAAGAAAGAAAAAATTACAATGACATCTTTTTGCCGTATCACCGGGCACGCCCGGAATCTCCCCAAGCCTTGTTACTTCCCTCTGCTGCCGCCCATTTCGCCCGCCGACGCTAAAAAGCTATGCAGAATCACGGGGAAAGCATCGACTATACACTCCTTTTCCCCCCTCGTTTCCTTTGGTAAACCAGTGAGGTTTGATGGCACAGAAGGCTGTAGAATAACAAAATTTGAGGACTTCCAGTACATGAGCCTCATATTTGAAAAAACAAAAGACAATGAGAAAACATTTGATGACCTTGATGATGTGCTTAGAAAAATGAAAAATAAACGTAAGAAACAGGTGGAAAAGGACCATGAATTTGTCTACCACTCATCGGAGATGAAGTCCAGCATCATCTTCCCGCCGGAAATGGAGGAGGCGATTCGAACGGGCGAGTTGGAAAGCGTATCCATGAGTAAAGATCATAAATTCGTCAACATCAAAATCAAACAAGGGCGGGTCGTTAAAATAAATCTTAAGAAGCTTCAGTTATCAGAAGTTAATCATCGTCAAGACCTGTACTTCGGCAGGGGGCAAAACCAGGACGTTCTTGAGCAACAACAAGAACTTCTCAATGAAAGGAATAAAAGGAAAGCCAATACGATGGCTAGGAAAAAACGCTTTGAAGCACTCGATGCAAAAGCAGAGGCCGAAGAATTGAGAGATACTGTTAAACCTGCTTATAACAAGCCAAGAGTTAAATTCAATGCTAAACAACGAGCCGAAAAATTAGCAAAGATGGAAGCTATGATGAGAGAACAAGCAACTAATAAGTCTATTGTTCTTCCTAAAGTTGACACAACACATGCACGTGATGAAGAATTGCAATATGAGAGGATGTTGCATGATATTTCATTGGCTTGCAGGACTTCAGTAAATCTCACAATATGTTCCTCTGGGTATGACTGGCTCGAAGCTCAAGAAGCTAACCAAGCTTTTAATTGGTTAGATTTTCCCCAGGAAGAATTGATTGATCCTGTTGAAGTTGAAACAACTAATTTCAAAGCAGAAGAAGCAGCAGTTAGGGATGATATATCAAATCTTGACATTGTTGTTTCAATTGAGACTATTCAGCCTGCAAAACCAACATCTCAGAACATAGTTGAAGCAGTGTTCAAGCTAAAGGATGAAAAGGTCCTGAAGTTAACTGAAGATGTCAATGGTGTCCTTAAAACTGTCAAAGATGAAGCTGATATTCCATCTTTTGCCGAAATCAGTCAAATAACTTCTTTCATGGAAAAAGCAGAAGTTGGATATATGGTTGAAAATGCTAAAGGAGCACAGTTTGTTACAAAAGAAGAGTATATTGTGAGTGAAGCTAAGGCTGTGTCAGGCGCCATGATAGAGCTAAATGATAAGAAGAAGTTTGTTACTGGCCAAGTAGTCAACCTCGGTGACCAAGAATCATTTGTGGCTGGTCAGACAATTGAAACGCCGGCAGGCAAGAAATTTGTTCCAGGTCAAACAGTCTTGGACAAAAAGGGTGAAATCAAGTTTGTTCCTGGTCAGTGTATAGAGAAAAGTGACGAGAGCATCGAGTTCGTTGCTGGCCAGATATTTAACACTGAAAATGGTCC